GGCTGAGTAACTATATTCCCCTCACATTCACAATGTGGAGTATACCAGAAACATCATAGTCATATAGATCTACAGCACAGAAAAAACCCTTTGACAGATCACTTTCATGCCAGTCAAAAAACAACCACCTAACTATTTTAATCCTATTTTCCAGCACTTGGCCCATAGCCTTGTGTGCCTTGGCATCACAAATGCACATCTGATCACTTCTTAAATGTTACGTGGGTTTCTGCCGTGACCACCCTCAAAGGTAGTCAGTCCCGGATTCCCACCACCCTCTCAGTGAAAATGTGTTACCACAATGCCTCTAAATCTTCTACATCTTACCTTAAACCTATGCCCCCCAATCACTGATCCCTTTAACAAGTGGAAAAGTTTCTTCCATTCTACCCTGAATATGAGCCTCAAAAGTTATACATCTCAATCTCCTCTTCCAATGATAATAACTCCCTGTCTGCCCAATTTCTCTTCATTACTGAAACCAGCCTACGCAACATCCTGGAAAACCTGCACCCTCTCCAGTGCATTTACATCCATCCTATAATGCGGATTCCAGAACTGCACACAATATTCCAGCTATGGGGTAACCAATATTTTATACAGTCTTAGCATACCCTGCCTGCTCTTAAACGTTATACAGTCAACTAATAGAGGCCAGTATACCAAATGCCTACTTTTCTACTTTATCCACCTATACTGATACCTTAAGATTCCGGTGTATATATACACACACCAGAGTCCCCCGATCCTTGATGCTTCCCAGGGTTCTACCACTCACCATTTATTCCCTTGCCTTGTTTTCCCTACCCCAGGTGCAACACCTCACAGTTATTCAGATTAAAATCCATTTGCCACCGATCAGCTCATCTGACTAGCCGGTCTATATCCTCTCACAGTCTAAGGCTATCCTCTTCACTAGACACACCCCAACAATTTTTGTATGATCTGCAAAGATACTGATCAGCCCTCCTACATCAAAGTCTAAACCTTCTATATACACCACAAACAGCAAGGGCCCAAATGATGCCTATAAGATCCAAATGAACAGACTTCCAGTCAGAAAAACACCCCTCAATCATCACCCTCTGCTTCCTGCCACTCAGCGAATTCTGGATTCGATTTGCCAAATTTCTGTGGATCCCATAAGCTCTTTGCTATCAGTTTCTCATGCAAGACTTTATTAAAAGCCTTACTGAAGTCCAAGTAGGCTACATCGTAAGCATTGCCCTTTATCACTTCTGGTCACCGCTTAAAAAATTCAAATCAAGTTGGTCAGACATGAAACTTCCTTAACAAAACCATGCTGACTGTTGAGCAATCTTTCCCTCTTGAAATGCAGATTAATTCTGTCCCTCAGAATTGCTTCTGATAATTTCCCCAACACAGGTTAGACTGACCAACCTGTAGTTTCCTGGTTTATCCCTTACTCCCTTCTTGAATATCAGTCACACATTGGCTGTCCTAGTCCTCCAGCATTTCTCCAGTGGTCTGAAAGGAATTGAACATTTTGCAAGCATCCCATTTCCTCCCCTGTCTCACTCAACATGGGATACGTTTTACCAAGCCTTAGGAGATTTATCTACATTTAATTATGCCAGACCAGTCAACCTGTCTATATAAAGTTATTTAATTGTACCACAGACCTTCCCACTGATGTCTACATCAATATTGACCCTCTCACAAGTGAACACTGATCTAAAGTATTAACTTAGAACAAAAAGGAGAAATGTTGCTGCTGGAAATCCAAAACAGAAATAAAAATTACTGGAGAAACTCAGGAGATCTGGCAGCAACTGTGAAGAGAAAGCACTGCTAATGTTTTGGGTCCAGTGACCCTTCTTTGGAACCACCCCAGAAAAAGGGTCAAGGATCAAGGACCAGAAACGTTAACACTGCTTTCTCTCCACAGATGCTGCCAGATCCACGGAGTTTCTCCAGCAATTTCCATATTGTATTCATTTCGAACTTTAGATACATTTTCTGGCACCACACTTATATTACCACAGTAGTCCTTAATAGGCCCTACTCTTTCCCTCATTAATATTTTATCCTTAATGTAAATGTAAAACAACTTGGAATTTTCTTTCATTTTATCTGCCAGTATCCTTTCACATCCCCTTTTAACACTTCTAATCTCCCTTTTAAGTTCGCACTTGCACATTCTATATGCCTCTAGGGCTTCTGCTGTTTTGACCATTGCAGCAAGTTTACTGCTGAAAGATCTAGACAAATCAAACAGTAAACATGCATACCTCACTGAAGCAAGATTAGGTTTTACCACTCATGGGGCCAACAGGTGATTGATACAAGGCTGACATGTAATGTGTTACTGCAGTACAGTTTAGCAGCACATGAGTCACCATATCTTACTGGCAGCCACAATTCAGATTTGACACCCACATTTTAACCTTAAATTGGACAATGTAAACAGATGCAACTCAGAATACAACAACATTCTATCTGTATTTTCTTCTGAAATATCATTTAGGAAAACATTTACACCGGTGCCAAATATTTTCCTTTAAATATTTAAATTCATATTATGCTAAGCAATATATAGAGTGCTAGTCTGGGGTCAGCTCCCTTAAAACAACTATTCACTAAACCATTAGAGAAGTAGGTGTACACACATCACTTATTTTCATCTGTAGTTTTAATCACAGCTGCATCGCCAGTCAACTGCAGCTGTACGTTACTTGTATATAGAGTCTAACACCATGACTGATTGCTTGTCAGCTTGATGAATCCTATTCAGCCCAATAAGTCCACACCAACTCTCTGAAGAGCATCCCACCCAGACCCATCCCCTTATCCAATCCCTGTAACCCTGTACTTCCCATGCTAACACACCTAACCTAAACATCCCTGAGCTCTATGGGCAATTTAGCAGGCCAATCCACCTAACTTGCACATCTTTGGACTGTGGGAGAAGACCGAAGCACCCGGTGGAAACCCACGCAGGCACAGGGAGAACGTGCAAACTCCACACAGTCGCCCGAGGATGGAATCGAACCCAGGTCCCTGGGACTGTGAAGCAGCAGTGCTAACTGCTGACCCATGCTGCCCCAAACTCATAGCACTATCGAAGAGTCAATAATTTAATTAAAACTCCATCCTAATCCAATTAGTTCAACATGTAGTGGAACTGTGCAGGTAGCCATAGCTGTACCATGTGAAAGTGATAATTGGCAACCACAACCTATTTGTATTTGTTTCTTCTCCTCACTGGTGTTTCTGTTTTACCTCGGAGTAGAGGTAACTGCTGAAGGGGAGCAGCAAAGTGTTGGATCATGACATTCCAGATATCGTGAGGGAAAGGTTTGATGGACCAACCGGTTTTTACCGGACTATCATTTTTGTAAATAGTTTAGAACAATAAAATGAGAGCCAAAGTTACAGATTAGCTGCGTAGTTTGATTGCTGAATGTATCACATATGATGCTAAGGGGTTTGAAAACCCATCCGGACCATTCGTGGTTAGTTGTCATATTTCGGAAGCAGCTCAAAAGGGTGACAAGTCTTTAAACCCAAACCTCCCAAGTTTCCTTGTAGCATTGCTACTCCTCCAAGTATTCAATCGAGTTGAGGCAAAGGTTAATTCCTGTGTAACTCCAGATTTTGACTGCACAGTTGACTGCAGAGTACGGACATTGCTGTAATCTAAGTTGCAGGATAATTTAAAAACTGCTGTTAAAAATATGACTAGAAAAAATATGACCACAAAACAAACCTTCCACACCAGATAGGGATTCACCTGCACATCCGTCAATGTGGTCTACTGCATCCGTTGCTCCAGATGTGACTTCCTCTACATTGGTGAAACCAAGCAGAAGCTTAGAGACCGCTTTTGTACAGCATCTGCACTCTGTCCGTGACAAACGACAACACCTTCCAGTCACCAACCATTTTAACTCCCCCTTCCACTTCCTGGGTGACATGTCCATCCTGGACCTCCTCCAGATTCACACTGACACCACCCGGAAACTGGAGGAGCAGCACCTCATATTATGTCTCGTGTGCCTACGGCCCAACAGCCTAAACGTGGATTTTACCAGTTTCAAAATGTCCCCACCTCTGGCCTCATCCCATGACCAACCCTCCCTCTCATCCCTACTTCCTTGACCTGACACAACCTATCCAACTTCTTTTCTACCTAACTGAACAATCCCCACCACTCCCTACCTGCACTCACCTATCACCATCCCACCTACCTTTCCCAGCCCCACCCTCCTCTCTCTATTTATTTCTAAGCTCCCTTCCCCCTCCCCATTTCTGAAGAAGGGTCCCGACCCGAAACTTTCCTGCTCCTCTGATGCTGCCTGGCCTGCTGTGTTCCTCCAGCTCCACACCTTGTTATATCAGATTCTCCAGCATCGGCAGTTCTTACTATTTCTGACCAGAGAATTTGTCAGCTCTTCACTTCGATGCCTCTTCCTCACCTCATCTCTCAAACTGATTACAAACTCTCAAACTACTAACTGAAAGACCTCAAACAGAAAATAGAAAACATATTTCTTTTTACCTTAAATAATCTAGTTGTTGTGTAGCATAGTAACATAAAGTACATCACATTGGATGATGGTGTCAGGGGATTATATAGCAATAAACATCAAAATTTTGAATTAATTCATAACATGTGGATTAATGTTGATATTTATTGTTGATATTTATTGTTATTGACACTTGTCCTGAAGTGAAGTGGTGGCGTGGCAAATCAGCAGCAATTTAAAAGGCATCAGCATTAATCATGTTTATGTGGAGGTGAGATCACAGAAACTGGAATGTATAAGGCAGGCTGACTTCCTATTCTAAAAGATTCAATCTGTGAGGAGTGACACGACCCAAGCAACTTGCAGTATAAAGCAGCACATATACAATAAAAGTCAAACAAAATGTAAACATCCTTTCTGTAGGCATCAAATTCAGCACCTTTTGCTCATGAAGTCCACGGGTAAATACAAAGAACTCAAACAAATAATTCACATGTTTTCACCACTTACTGTGCTTCTCTACACAATTTCCTTTCTCATCTTCAACAAAATCAGACAGACATGGCCCACAGTGATCAAATCCAGGCGTGCAATGTTCACGTCGCTTTATAGTGCAGTCCAATCCTCTAGGGCAGGTTCCAGCTGAAGGACACAGATGAAAATCAGTTCAGCAAACTTGCAGATTTTGCACATTTTAACAAGATAAACAAAAACTGTTGATCCCATCTTCTTGCGCTTAAACTCCTTTAGTACCTACCTCCATTCCTGTCCAAACAGGGTACCTATTGAGAGGTTAAATAAGATGTGATGTGCAGCAACATAGCTACAACAGTTTCTACAGAAGTCCTTTCTAACTTATTTGAGAGCATCATACTGGTGTCTCCAACAGCCAAACAGGATGCCATTCTTTCAACTGCTAAGTGTTGCGTCACCAGCAAGGAGGGGAGGTTACTAATAATTTTGGTAGTCCTTTTAAACATAGCACCAGCAAAATGGGCCACTGCTGGCCCTCCTTTCACACAGTACATTATGATTCTAAAGCAGACTGGCTGCCACTTACAGGAGGTCATAGCACCTCTTTTAAATTGCGTGGAATGGTTGGAAGTGTTACATCCATTGTTCACTATGTACTTTCTGCTACTTGTATTTACAGTAAATTTCATACTTTGATTTAGGTAGCACATACTTTGCAGCAGGGGCTAGATTTTTCAATAACTTCACAAAAACTGAAAGAACTGCAGGTGGTGTAAGTCAGGACCAAAAACAAAGTTGCTGGAAAAGCTCAGCAGGTCTGGCAGCATCTGTGAAGGAAAAAACAGTTAACGTTTCGGGTCCGGTG